GCAGTGGATGGAAATTATGGTATTTTCCCTGTTGCTTTTGCTATAGTGGATGTTGTGAATGATGATAACTGGCATTGGTTTTTGGTACAATTGAAATCTGCACTTCCGACACTTCAGCCAATAACATTTGTGGCGGATAGACAGATGGCACTAGGACAGTCAATTTCTGTGGTTTTTGAGAATTCTTGCCATGCTTATTGCCTTCGCTATCTGTCAGAAGAGCTGAAGAGGGATCTTAAGGGTCCATGCATTCATGAAATTATTGGTGTCATCGTTGGACATCTTTATGATGCTGCATATGCTCCCACACTTGATGCATTTCGAAAGTGCATTGAAAGCATCAAGAGTATTTCACCTGAAGCCTATGATTGGATTTTGCAAAGTGACCCTGAAAACTGGGCAAACTCACTTTTCCATGGTGCGCGGTACAACCATATAACATCAGGCATTGCCGAGTCATTTTACAGTTGGTTAACTGAGCTCGCAGCATTACCAATAATAAAGATTATTGAGACCATTCGCCATAAGCTGATGGAACTAATTTACACTCGAAAGGTGGAGTCAGATCAGTGGCTAACAAGATTAACTCCATCCGTGGAGGATAAATTACAGAAAGAGATTCTCAAGGCACAGTCACTTCAAGTTATGTTTTCACCTAGTAACACTTTCGAGGTACAAGATTTCCTGGGCGCAGTTAATGTCGTTAACATAGATGCATGGGACTGTAGTTGCAGGGAATGGCAAATTAACGGTTTCCCATGTTTGCATGCTGTGGCAGTGCTTCAGCACATTGGTAGGGATGTGTATGACTACTGCTCCAAGTACTATACAACTGAAGCTTTTCGTTTAACATACTCTGAATCAATAAAGCCTGTTCCAACGGTAGATAAGCCTGTGCTTGGAGAATCATCAGAGGTTCAGGTAAACCCCTCCCCTCTTCGTCGTGTCTCTGGCTCTCCCAAGAAGAGAAGAATCCGGTCAAGAGGAGTGGTTAAAAGGCCACTGCATTGCAGCAAGTGCAAAGGTGAAGGCCACAATAAAGTATCGTGCAATGTTGTCTCGTAGATGAATCATGTTTATAGAGTTGTAACTCAATTTTTATGTCAGATAGATCGTTATAAGGCTGCCTGTTTAGCATAGGGATAGGTTAGATGGAAAATTAGGTTGCACTCTGATGTGAGTGACTTTTAAGGGTGTGTACTGTTGTCGGATTGTGCAGGCTTTAATTTTAGTGTGGCACTTGTTTTGCATCCCTTGATTTTGATGACAAACCCATGTTTTTCCTGCCTTCTGGTTTCTGTGGTAGCCAATCAGAATATACATTTTAAGCCATTTTTGGCAGACGCAAAATTACATTTTACTATTACTGGGTTGTCGTAACAGGCATGGTATGTGCATGAAACTGGTTTGTTCTCCTGTGTCCCCCATTAGAGGATATCAGCAATTCTGTTTCTATCCATGTAGATGTTCGCGTAGCATTAAGGCTCATTTACTGATTGATCACATATCAACCCTGATCCTTCTGGTATTTCCCCACGTTCTAACTGTTGCTTCTTCTGCAAGTACCTTTGTGCTTTCACTTGTGCTCGCAGAAGGATTAGACCTGAGATATCTCATCATCAGTTTGAGCCGTCTGTTAAGAACCATATGCTTTCACTATGAATCTCAGTAGTCAGCGATCCTTTTGGGAATCACTAGTAGCTTGCATTAATCTAGAATGGACTCAACTGGGATGAGAAACTCGGTTTTCAGTGGAGTAGTTATTTTCATTTCCCAGATCACATACCAACGAATCATCACTAGCTGTATGTGGACAGATTGGCACAGCTATTCTTTGTTCACCTCCGAACCATAAACCAAGGATGAGATCAAAATCTCACTCTTAGACAGATGAAGTTAAGAATATCATGTATTCGAATCATTAAGAGAATGTAAGATTGCTGTTATCTTTGGCCAAGGAAAACTTATGCCCCGTGAGGATATGAATATAGTTGCTGCAGTTGGGACAATTTTTTTCATGGACGAACTTCCATTGCAGGCAGCTCCATTGAGCATGAAGCTGAAGAGAGATCTTTGTAACATTATAGATCAAAATGCTACCAGATGAGGCATTGATCGATAGCAATTGAGATCTTCGTTTAGACATTACACAAGCTTAGAATCAACTTCTCTGTACGGGAACAGCTTCCTTTTAACCTCCATCTTGATTTTGATATTGTCTGATTTATCGAGTCCCCTCCTTGAAGAAAATCAAATTGAAAAGGCATCAGTATTTTACTTTTTATTGTCTCCAGAGGATTGTAATTTCCTATTTTGCTAGGACTATCTGGGGCCTTAAATGGCATTGTCGCATAAACCTTTTGCCTTCTTGTCGAGCTCGGATGCGCTGGCCTTTGAGATTTCCTGTACTTGATTTAGTCATAGTGTTTGGGATAGAAGACAGTTTTTCTTCATCAAAGACACAGACTTGGGGCTATTGATGAGAGTTCAGACTTAACACCCTCATTTTAGGGCCTAGATTGAACAACAATAATGGGCCTAATATCAAGCCCATAATTAAGCCCAGGACTTGTCCCATTCATCGTCACTCGTCAGGTCTCAGCACAAAATACAAGGCAAGGTCCATCAAGAAAACCAGCCTAGGACCTCATGGGTCATATTTAAAGAATGTATGAATATTTAAAAAATATGAGCTTTCGTTTGATTTTTTTTTATTTCATAAAAAATTAAATTATAATTATAAAGATAGCTAAGAGGTGAGACAATTTTAATGTGAATTTTTTACTATACACTCTCTTACATATCACCTGGATTGAAACAATCCACTTTCTCTGAATTTCAATTTTACTTTCTAAACATTTTCTTAACTTATTTGCACTATTTGGATCCAAATTAATATCCAATTGCTTCTTATTTTTATTTTTTTTAAAAGGGTCGAATTAAAAGATAAAAAAAATAAAGATAAATAAAAATAAAATATAGAAGGCAACTTTGAATTCTATACTAAAAATTCAGTTTGGTTCCTTTTTCAGTTAATAGATGATTAATTCCTTTAGTTATTGTTAATTAAATTCCCACACAAAATTTTATTTTCATTATGTATTTCATTTTTTATGAGATTAATTTGTTAAAAAATTCTTTTTACATAATTATTATAATTTTATAATTTTAAATTATTAATATAAAAATTAACTTAAATTAACTCGAACAACTTCACTTTTTATTGTGTTAATTGTTTTTTCATAAACAAAGTCATCTTACAAGTTTTTTTTCTCTAGTATTTTTCTTTTAATTTCATTCTTTAGCTTTTCTCTTTTTATCCTATATTTAAATAAAACAACCAAACTAAAAAGATAATTAAATCTAGTGTTTTTCATAACCAAATTGTGAACTTGACAAATTTAACCACAAAGCTCGGATGAATCAAAGAAGTTATTGTCTGATTTTTTTTTAAAGAAACCATACTAGATTTTTTTTAATAAGTATTTGATTTATTTTGAGTTGGTGTTTATGATATATTTTATTTTAATTTTTGTATAATTAATTAGTTTTGATTTGATTTTTACATGTCTATCATTTTGAATTTTTTTTAAATTCAAATCATACTGTGAGTTGCTGAGAATCTTGTAATTTTAATTTTACGTTTTAAAAAAAGCGGGTCAATGAACTTGGAGATTTCATGTTTATTCATTACCGAATTTTTTCTAAGAAATTTCTAAGCTTGTGTTCAACATTGTACTTGAACAAATAATTTTTTATGCTCGTACAGACACATTGTTGTACTAGGACTGGATGTTGTCTTAGCCCTAGATGGAGATTATCTTTTATATTTAAGGTTGTCTCTTGTTTTCAAAAAGAGATCACATTGTAACTGGACAAGGAAGTTCCTTTAACCATGGATGGAGATCAAATGGAGAAAGTAAAATGTCATGGCGAGTTTTTCATGGAGATATTGCATGAAGACCACCACTTCATGGGGATTATTCTATAAGATTTTCATGGCACTGTCTGTGAAGTTTTCTGAACAAAAGTCAGTTCAATTCCTTTCTTTCTACAATTCTTGTAGTTTTCTCCATGGTATATAACCCAAAAACTCCAAAACAGAAAAGGGTTAGAGACCCTTCTCGCATCCGATGGCCAGGCTACAATTTTCATGCTCTCATGGTGTGCTTCTTCAACTTAACATTGTGCTGTGGAAAATGCAGGGATGCTAACTATTCGGTTTTTGAACCCAAGTGTATATAGGTTTGGTTTGGAAACGCAAACCACGTCACATGAAATTTTAAACAATCCATTTTCACTAGTGCCTCGCTTTCTTCATAAACCAGGCATGGTGATGGACAAAACTTGGTGTGGTCTTGTAGAATCCCAGAAACCATCTCTGATGTCAGACATCTTGATCACATGCCTGAGTTTTGTAAAAATGAATATTTCCAAGATGTTTTAGATAATTGTTAAATACTAAGCACCAAAACTACTGTTAATACGCTACAAATAACGAACCTAGTGGAATCCTTGACTGATGTTGATTAAGAAGATGTCTAGAAGAATAGTGTGGGTTATTTTTAAAAATAATTATTTTTAATATTTGTATATTAAAACGATAAAAAAATACATAAAAAATAATAATTTTAAACAAAAATAAAATTTAACTTTTTAGAAACACGGATTCAGCGCGTTTCTTAACACTATCTAAGACTTGGAATTCGAAAAAGATGGGAGGAAAAAAAGAGATAAAAGGAAGATCTCCGATTTATCTTTCACCTACAGATTGGAAGATCAACAGTACTTCTGATCCACTTTTAGGTTGAAACTTCTGCTTTACAAAGTAGAATATAAGTGGTAGCTTACTCCAAACTACGTATAAAGCTTAATTAAGAATTAATACTCCTACCATCATCAATTATGTTCTTGGCTTGCAATCTTCCTGAGGCCTAGCAATCAATTTGTGTCCAGTTGTACCAGCAACCTGGAATCAAAGATACAGTAAAGTTCAGGGATTTAACAGAAGAAATATGACATTTAACCCAAATTCCAAAGGAACAACAATCTTTTCTGGAACTCAAAAAGCTACTGGTAAGGAGAATTTTTGACCTATCTAGGAATAAGATGTAAAATAAACCATGATAGCAGGCTCCAGTCACCGCTACATAACATACAACTAATTGAAGCTAATATGATCTATCTATCGAGACATAGATGTTGATTTCCCTTGTGCTTTCTCTGCTTAATTTCTTTATTACAAGGGGTTTTAGACCTAGTTTCCTCAAGGCTTGCCATACGATGAGTGAGGAACAGTGGATTACATTGGGGCACAAAAATGAACTATATTATCTTTTTCATGAGACTGGGAATAAAAATGCATCAACCTGAAATCACTTCCTTTAGACAACAAAAGGCAAGAATCTGATGCATTTTTCTGGAGGAGTTTGCTGAACGAAGAACCCTTGGTAGAAAGCAGTGGAATGACCACAACATTTTCTCTATAATCCGCCCCTTATTGATCAGACTAGCAATATTGGATTCACATGGTTGACCAACCGATTAAAAATGAAACTCTGAATAGAAAATGAATTAGAAATCCCAAGATAATAACCAGGCGCCTCCTAGCAGCAAGAAATTTTATGAAATGTCCGGTAGAAGATTACTCTTATCCGGTGAGTAGAATGCATTTTACTGACTTCAGACCCTATAATTGGATATGAACAATCTTTTTAGAAGAATTAAATGAAGCCGTTCTGATTATCTATAACAGGCACGGAGCATCCAATGGGAACCAGAATATTTTAATTTTGAAAACATGGCAACACAGACAAAAAGAGAAGGGAAGAGAGGAGATAAAATAAAAAAAAAAAACAAAGCAAGCGAAGTAAGCTAAAGAGATTCAATTCAACAAGTAAAGATTACAACATACTTGTGATCTTCATCAGTCCAACATACAGATTCAGTGCAGTCAACTTGAACACAAGGCTGAGCTTCTCCGACAAGTTTATGATCCAATTTACCGGACTCTATACCCTGCAAGTCCTCTAAAAGGATCACATAATGTTTCTGCACATCCTCTTCACTCTTCTTCCCACCAACCATGGCTGCAACCACCTTCCATCTATCCGGGTCTTCTTCATCAACCCCAGCCAAAGCCATCTCAAACAGCTTGTTTTCTTCCCAGCTCCACCCATGCAAAACTTTTGGTAAATCATCCATATCACCTGATCACACAGGTAAGCAAAGCAAACCAAATCAATCCAATCCAATCCAATCCAATCCCCCTTTTAATTCTGGTCACTCCCGACACCTGCTTGAACTTTTCAGGAAAATAAGGAAAACCCAGTTGGACATTCACATTATAGTATTCATCGAAGAAGTTTGACAGAATTTTCCCTGGTAGCTTGTTTGATTCTGTTTTCAGATTCTAACTCCCCTTCAGTTTTTGGGGTTGTGTCAGATATGCTTGTTATGAACTGCAAAATCTTCTCCTTTTGTTTTTATAGGAGGGGGTCTATTTTTTAGTGTCAGAGATAAATGGCCCTGATAAGTCCAGCTCTACGCGTAAGCAATTGGGTAATAAACTCAACAATGGAAGAAAACAATACTAATCCTTACGGTACAAATCAGGATACCAATAATCAAAAAACGACAAAGCCGGATACTTCATTAACCATTTCTTGCAACACCCAGAAATAGAATCTGATTAAATATTTTTTTAGCATTGGATTCTTGTTGTTAGATATGGTATCACACATAAATCTTTTTTATTAATTAGATATCAAATCCAATAACTAGTAGTGGAAATGAACGGACGGATTTCATCTCAAGCCAACCAGCACGTTCACAAGTTCAAGATTTCAACCTTGCAAGTAAAGAAAGAGACTTTTGTGGTTAGGATTGCTATCAGCTGATTTCTTTTCTACATTTCCAAGCAATCACAACTAACAACTGGGTCATTTTCATGGACTTTAGTTGTGGGAAGAGAGAAATGCTAGTTGACTGTAAGAGAATGAGTCTTAAATATGGTAAAAAAAAGAAGAGGAAATGGTATTTTTACGATAATTCTTTCAATGGAAATGGGGTAAGTAGACCACCTGCACCAGACCCCCCACTTCTTTTCTTATTTCTCTCTTTAATTAATTAAGGTTCCTAGGATGAGGTAGATCATAGCTTTTTCATGATAGGTATGCTCGCTTGTCTCCTTCGGTCTTGACAGTTTGGACCCCAAGGGATTGGCACCATCTCTGGGCTTTGCTTGTGGCTTTATATATTCCATCGTCTTTTCTGCAAGAGGCAAACAGATACATTTCTTAATCAAGGGACTTACAAGGGAATTGAAATATCACAACCATGAATAAGAGAGCCTATATTGTTTTTCTTACGTTTTCTAGGTCAAGATTGGCGAACTTTACAAGAAAAGAGTTGATATCAGCCAAAAAGGCAGAGAGAATATGCACACCATACCCCACTTGTATGGCAATTTTCATCCTATGGGTTTGGCTTCTCAAAGGTCCTAACCTTTGGTTTTTTCTTTTGAGATACATCTCATCATGATTTGTTATCTTCTAATGTTCTTTGGGGTTCGAGGATAAGATTAAGAACCATCAATTTTATCATCCACTTGCCTGTCGGGTGCACTATAATTACATTCCTTCTCCTGGCTCGAAGAGAGGATGGCCATTTAGCGTTGTCTATCCTTGAAGCAAGTAGGTTGGTGGGGTAAGGATTATCGCCTGGAGATCATAAATTCTGCCCGCCTAATTGGCAACCCTGATTGAGCTTGTCGTTTTGAAAGACCGGCAAGGAAGAAGGAATATTTTCTGTCAACAACTGCTCCCATCATGTTACAGTCATCCATTTCAATGCTGACAACGAATCCCCCGTGAACTCTTACAGAAATTGAACAACCTACAAGAAGGAAAACATGATACAGAACTTAGTCATGGGCTAGGATCGGAGTAACGGCCCATGAAAGAATACACACCTCCCCTTCACATTCCTTCGAGCATTGCACGGGTATGCGTGCACAAGAAAATGAAAAAGGAAAAAAAGAGAAACGCCCGGGAATGCCTTGGTTTTTTTCATTTTTGGAAAGACATCGTCGAAGCAAGCTTTTCCTGGCCGATATTTAATGGGTGTAGATAAGATCAATAACTTGTTCTTCATTTACAAGAGATTAAGAATTTCCAGATGGTTTGCCAAACCACCGGGGGGGGGGGTGTAAGGTTAAGAGCAACACAAGGTAGGACAAGGTCCACAAGAATGCCAGCGAGGATTTACAGTTCATAGTTCAGATTCAGAAGTGAAGAAACATCTAGATACATGACGTGATAGGGCAAAGCACGATGTAAGTGCTGAAAGATATAATCAGTTTCGAGCAACATAAAATAATGACTTCATCTCTCACTTCTCTAAAAAATCATAAATTTATTATATAAAAAAAAAATCATAAATTTATTATAAAAAAATAAAATCAAATACACCAATGAGGGGCTCAGCACTGAAATATGGGATAAATAACGAGTCTACCACAACCGAAGACTCCCCACGAAATAACACCAACAAAAGGAGGTCCAGCGTCCAGGGTTTGACCAACTTCACTCAATAGAACCAAATGATGTAATTGCATCCATTTCCTGCTGTAGAAGAAGAGCATCAATGAAGACATCCAGACTCTCTCCCTGCATCACATCATTTATTGAATGATGAGTGATGCCAACACGATGATCAGTGACACGTCCTTGAGGAAAGTTATATGTTCTGATACGTTCAGATCTGTCTCCACTACCAATCTGTTCACCAATGCATAAGATTTCCAAATCACTTCATAAAAAAAGACAGAAAACTAGCAAACAAGTTATCTCATAGTTGTTCTAAACCTGCTCTGATCGAAGTCTTGATCGACTCATATGAAGCCTTGACCTTTCCATTTCATACAGCTTTGCACAAAGCACCTTGAGGGCTTTTGATTTATTCTATGAAGAACCAGAAAGCAGCAAATATAATAAGTGAACCGTTGACAGTTAAAATCATATGCTTGCTGCTTCATTGCTTGGAAAAATAGCAGAAACAGAACGAGCCGTTATTAAAAGCACTGATGCATTTGCAACTTCGTGAGTGGTTTGAAATAGATACAACCCATAATTCATCCTTCCAATAGATCGTGAAAAGCAAAAATTAAAAGGCAGAAATTGACAATGGAGTGTGTTTGAAAATGTTGGTTGAGTGCCAGATCCAAGGTAACTTTTAATGATTGGATGCTCAAAGCATCCATTTGTATGCTATTTGTGGTTCAATAACCAGATCCTCCACTCCTCCATTTAATCAAATTACCATTGATGGCCTGAAGAATCTACTGTTAAATTATGAAACGAGTATGCAATGCATCTGCAAGCCTAAGTAAAGATTGTCTCAAATAAATGTAATGAGGAGGCCAGTTGTAACCCAAAGATATGAAGCACTCAGAAACCAAAACAGTAGTAATCAATGAAAATCCTTTACCATATGCTGGGATCGTTCATCTTGTATGGAAACCGTTATCCCAGTTGGAAGATGAGTTATTCTAACAGCACTATTGGTGGTATTTGCATGCTGACCGCCAGAACCACCAGATCTATAGGTGTCAATTCTCAGATCTTCATTCCTCAACTGAAGGTCCACCTGCAGAAGCCCCAAAAACAATAAATCAAAAGAAGTCCAAAATCCAATCGTATTGGAACTGAAAAATAAAAAAAGATCAACGAGAGGGCAAAAACGAGATGTATACTTCCATTTACAATAATGACCAAAGACCATGAGTAACCAGTAATTGTGGCCATTTTGATGACCACATTGCTCTTCCTTATAAATGCTTAGATACTAACAAAACAGCCTCAAGTGATAAATTTTCAAAATCTTCCAAATAACATATTGCAGGATATCATTTACAGATTTAGCACCTCATCAGCTTGAGGAAGGATAGCAACAGACACAGCACTTGTGTGAACACGACCCAACTTCTCTGTCACTGGAACACGCTGCCAAAAGCAAACCATCTGTCACTTATGTTACAAGTCATGCATGGTTTACTGGACAGTAGTAATGAGACCTGAACTCTGTGAATTCCACTCTCAAATTTGAGTTTCCCAAAGACATCAGTTCCCGAGATTGCTGCACTAGCTTCCTGCCAAGCAGAAGCAGAAGTTAGATATGTGTCAGACAGGCACAAGATGAACTCCCCTTAAAATGTGATATTCAAGACTGAAATCCTCTGCAGAAAAAAATAGAGCTGGAATGGATACAAGACACACACAGATCATTCAACAAAGGAAGGAAGCATACCTTATATCCTTTCAAATCAGATTCTGTTATATATACCACTTCAAATTTCCAACCGTTATTCTGAGAGAATCTCTCATACCTGTTATAATTTAAACAAGGTCTCTGTTCTCAAAAGAGGACTTGGGAATCATAAATAGTTACAACACTTGCATGTTCCAACATCTTACATTTTGAATATATCCATTGCAAATAAAGAAGCCTCTTCCCCTCCAGATCCTGATTAAAACTTGTCAGATTCAAGAGAGCATAAATAGAATAGATGGAGAAATGCAGAAAAACTGCCTAAGGGTTCTGAAACCAAAACCATAGGTGCAAGTGAAATATCGCTTCTAATGCTATCTGTAGATGTGTTGTTACCTGCTCTCACCTCCAAAATGCAGTCCCTCTCATCAGCATCATCCCTGGGAAGCAATGACTTCAGCAGCAAATTCTGCACTCTTTTCTCTTCTTCCATGGCCTGGCTCAATTCCTCGTTTGCCATATCAAGCATGTCTTTATCTTCTGGGCATTCAGCCATCAGTGATCTCAAACCATCAATCTCCTAGAAAGTGAAATAAGCAAACATCATACATACAATATCTTGTCGCCCAAAGTAACCAGTACAACATGTTTGACGCAAGTGAGGCCCATATCCAATTGAAAAAACAAGGCAGACTTCCAATTGGGTGTTCTTGTATTGATTGCTACTTTGTCGATCTTACTGATTAGCGCACCCATTGTTTTCTCTTATCCTGATGTTTAGTCGAGACATAAACTCATTTAAAATGATCGGCATCTTTTGGTGACTAGTTTTGGTAGCGTAGTTAACTTAGTTGAGAAAAATTGCAAAAGCATGCCTTTTTTTGGGACTTTGGACTCTAATGGTTGAAACTAGAAGCATCCTAAGCAACGAAAACGATATTAATTTAAACACAAGATTAGCGGATGATATGTTTGGTTCCTCTAGTTATTGCTGAAAAGCACAAACGATAAGACAAGAATACATAAAATTATATTTCCTGTTCCTATAACAGCATTTTCCATGGTAGCCGAGAGATTGTGTAAACAGTACCTTCTGTTTGGTCCTGAGGTAGGTTATAAGTTCCATTGAACCCCTGAGTTTCCGAAGCTCTTTATTTGCCCTGGAAAATTCTGTAGGTGAGGCTTCTGGCTGTCTTCATTCAAAATACAAAGACATCATTTGACAACGATAAATGCAGTGTTCTTTAAAAAAAGAAAAAAAGAAAAGAAAATAAACATAAATTAAACGACCTGGTTAATGAAATTCTCAAGACAAGCACTCCTGTGTTCAATAGCGGAGAGTCTATGTTCCATTATTCTAATTAGGTTCGGAGACAACTGCAGTTGCGATTCTGCTTTGATGCCAAAAGGAAAAATAAAAAGAAAAAAAATCATTATCTTTCCTTCAGATTTTAAAAAGAAAAAGGAAAGAGAAAGAACGAAAGAAAAGGACGGACCAGTGGAGTAATAGCGAGAAAAAGGTTTGGGAATTGGGGATTGGAGAAAGGATGCTCGATTCCAATGATTTGTGTTCCGCCCCGATTGAATAAGGTTCTGCTTTAACAAATTGAAGCTCCACTTAAACCCTACCCCTCCTCCTCCATGAATTCTTCTCATTTTGTACTAGTAGTGATTAGCGAGTCTTTCTCTGGAAGCAGGAGGTGAAATGCGGTGAGTGACGCGCTCTGTCTCGGCTTCCTACGCCTTCCTAAGCCGCAAAGAATACGATGTTCCACAGCACCCTCGGCCGTGCGTGCATAAACAAACACGAAACTGCACTTCAATATTTATTTATTTATTGTTGATTTTTACTCGCAACACACCGTCTCCTTCGCTAAATGTAACCTCCATTCCTTTGGTAAGTAAGACAGGCTTGTGAGAGCCCATGACCAACCCGTTCGTTCGGATTAGAAACAATGAACTGGGCCTGGTCATGGGCCTCGGCCTCGGCTATGGTATTAAAATTAATATGCCTTTTTTTTCATTTTAAAAAAATTTAAGTTTATTAATTTTATTTATTTATTTAAATTAATATTTTTTATTTTTTTATATTTTGTTTATTTATTTATTTAAATTAATATTTTTTCTTTTTTATATTTTTATGAATTAATAGAAAATAATTTTTAAAAATAAAAAAATTATTTTAATATATTTATAATTAAAAAATATTTTAAAAAACAATTATAACAATAATTTCAGCCGTAAAATATGACATCAGAAGAAGAAAATTTCAAAAAAATAAATAAATTCGAGCATACACGTGCTTCGTGGTCATGTCGCCGCGCATCCTAATAGGCAACTCCGATGCCCTCTATACTTTTATCCCCATTTAAGAACCAAACACCTGTCCTGCACAGGTAGCCTGCATATAATTTTGCCACTTACATGACAGCAAAAAAGAAATACGGCTACAAATTATCCAAAGAAAACTAAATTCCTAGGTATAAAATAAAAGGAAATTAATTTGTTTTTATTTATTTTGAGAAAAGGAGAGAGAGAAACCCTTTTAAATAAGAAAGAAAAGCAGCAGCAAAGACCAGCAACAGCCCCCCCAAAAAGGAGATTATTACAGAAAGAAATGCAGGGCGATGAGGACAAGGTCTTGATAGGATTCCCCCCCAGTTCCCGCCCCACTCTCTCTCAGGTCAAATCTCTCTCTCTCCCCTTCAATTTCTTATTTTAACACCACACCTAATCCCTTAATTGTTTCTCTTCCGAATCCATATGCTGCTATATTTTCTTATGAGCTCTACTAATTAATTAAGAAAATTGCTAATTCTAGGGTTTGAATACATAATCAACAATTGAACTTTCTTTGATGTTCGATTGCTGGTTTTTAAACTAAGCTCTTTGGGCGATTTCGCTTTGTTTTCTCCATCCATCGCTTCTTGTTGTCAAATTAACTTTTTTTTTTGTTTGCTTCTTATGTGTTAGGTTAAAGCTGCATGCAGAAAGAAAGTATGGGAATCTCATCCTGACCTGTTTCCTCTTTATGAAAAGCCCGGTGCCGAGTCCAAGTTCAAGTTGGTAATTAAGAATTCATAGACCTTTTTTTATTTTTCTTTTTGTAAAATAATGCCATCAAGTCTTTAGTTTCTGCATGTGCATATCGTGCCAGGTAATCTTTGTTCTTAATTCTCTTCTTGGTTCTGACTGCTTTTTGTTTTTTTTCTTTTTGCATTTCCTGCAGATTTCAGTAGTACACTTACTTGCAGACTGGTAATTCTTGTATCTTTTTGTATTATGAGATATATCGAAAAACATAAATGATGGTTTGCAAGCTCTGAAAAATGGACTGGAATACTTAGTGGAAGTGGATGTGCCTGCATTATTATTCTCATGATTTTTGCATATCTGTATTTGAGATATTGATTGATTTTGAATAGAAACTTCGAGAAATTCTATGTGTCATTTCATGCTTTGTTTTTCTGTCTGCCTGCTGAGACCACCTTGTTGTAGTAAATTCTCTGTTTGACTTTTTTAGCTACTTTTTTTGTTTTAATGTTCATTGCTTGCTCTTTGGGTTCTCAACTCACTGGTTTCTGTATTTTTGGTAACTAGCACAGGGTTATCTGAAAGACCCATTTTATGGTTTTGACTTTTGAGGACGAAACACAAGTCAACTAGGTTTTGGGGTACATGCAGCAGGAGACTCCAGAGAAAGGATTTACAGGGTAATAACAAGGTAATTTATTCTATTACTGAATTTCTTTCCTATTTTCTTGCTGAATGCTGTTCGTGAAACTCAGAAGTCAGAATTGCCTATTCTATCTTCTTTTAATTTATTTTATTTTTTTCTGTAGATCTATCTTCTTTTGCTTTATTTTATTTTTTTCTGTACATGTAGCTGGTGTTGGTATTTTAGCAAGTCTGGCAGAATATGTGAGATTTTCGTTGTTGGTGTTAAGGATTTTGTTTAGTTTGTTTTAAGACTGAAATTCATGTCAAGTTGAAGTCCCTAATTTGTGTTCCACCACCAGATTCATCACCCATTTGGTTAACCTAGCTTGTCTCTGGGATAATAATTTGTTCAGCCATGCTCATTTTATATTAGCTAGATCTTTTTTTCTTAATCCTTTTTAATGTTACATAAAGACCAGTGATAATATGGAGGATTTTACAGATTTGCACGTCCTTTTTCAACATTTTCCAGTAAACTAGAAGTACCAATCCCATGAGCATATCAGGAGATGATTTTATTGTAGTTTATATCTCTTTTGTTCCAATATTATTGTTTCTGAGTTGGGAATGCTCCTTTCTCTGGTGCTTTTGCACCCCCCCCCCCTCTCCAAGTAAATTTTCAGTTGCTCAAAAATTTAAATTGATGGTAATAAATGTTTTCATTTCTTATAGCTGTTTGTTTATTTTAATGCTTCTTTGAATATAACAGTCAAGGAAATAAGCTGCTGCTGCAGTGCTGATTGCCAAATGTTTGAAGAAATGGCTCCACTTCGGTCCTCAGGATATATTGATCCTGGATGGGAACATGGCATTGCTCAAGATGAAAGAAAGAAGAAGGTCAAATGCAACTACTGTGGGAAAATAGTCAGTGGTGGAATATTCAGGTTGAAGCAACATCTAGCTAGAATGTCTGGTGAAGTTACTCACTGTGTTAAGGTTCCTGAGGAAGTATGCTTCAATATGAGAAAAACCCTGGAAGGATGCCGTTCAGGTCGAAAACGAAGGCAAACTGAATATGAACAGGCATCTTTAGCTTTCCAAGCTAATGAATATGATGACATGGAAGAAGCTTCCTGTAGTTACAAACAAAAAGGCAAAAGGGTGGTGGGTGACAAGAACTTGGTTATAAGGTTTGCTTCTCTTCGATCCTTAGGATATGTAGACCCGGGCTGGGAACACTGTGTTGCTCAAGATGAAAAGAAGAAAAGGGTGAAGTGCAACTACTGTGAAAAAATTATTAGTGGAGGCATAAACCGATTTAAACAACATCTGGCTAGGATCCCTGGGGAAGTTGCCTACTGTGACAAGGCACCTGAGGAAGTGTACCTTAGAATCAAGGAGAACATGAAATGGCACCGTACTGGAAGAAGGAATCGGAAACTTGAATCTAAAGATTTATCCACTTTCTATACCAACTCAGACAATGAGGAGGAAGAGGAGGAACATGAGGGAGGGTTGTTGCAATATTCAAGTAAGGATTTGCTGGTCATTGATGATAAATTTTCTGACAATGACATCAGAAATAACATGAAGGGGAGGTCCCCTGGTAGCAGCAGCAATGGTGCTGAACCACCAATGAAAAGATCAAGATTGGATTCAGTGTTTTTGAAGTCTCTTAAAAGCCAAACATCATCACACTACAGGCAAACAAAAGCAAAGATGGGTTTTGAGAAGAAAGCTCGAAAGGAAGTTATCTCTGCCATCTGCAAATTCTTTTATCATGCAGGATTGCCTTCAAATGCAGCAAATTCCCCATATTTCCACAAAATGCTGGAGTTGGTTGGCCAGTATGGGCCAGGTCTGCAAGGTCCTTCCAGCCGGCTGATATCTGGTCGATTTCTTCAGGATGAGATCACTACCATTAAAGAGTATCTAGAAGAATTTAAGGCATCTTGGATAATTACTGGTTGTTCTATTTTGGCTGATAGTTGGAATGATCTCCAGGGTAGGACATCAATAAACCTTTTGGTCTGTTGTCCCCGAGGTGTATATTTTGTTTCTTCTGTTGATGCCACTGATATAATAGAAGATGCCACCAGCCTTTTCAAGTTGTTGGACAAGGTGGTGGAAGAGATTGGCGAGGAAAATGTTGTTCAGGTAGTTAAACATCTCTTTCTAATATTTCTCGTGCTGCACTGTTTCAAATGTACTCATAAATGGATGCCTAATTAGCTGTTTTCTTCTTGCTTCCATCACAGGTAATCACTAAGAACACTGCCAGTTTTAAGGCCGCTGGGAAGATGCTAGAAGAGAAAAGAAGAAATTTATTTTGGACACCATGTGCTATCCATTGCATTGATCAAATGGTAGAGGATTTTTTGAATATAAAATGGGTAGGAGAGTGCATAGATAAGGCTAAAAAAGTTACAAGGTTTATTTACAACAATACTTGGTTGTTGAATTATATGAAGAAAGAGTTCACAAAGGGACAGGAACTTCTCAGGCCAGCTGTTACTAAATATGGCACTACATTCTTCACTTTACAAAGTTTGTTGGACCAAAGGGTGGGTCTTAAGAAAATGTTCCTATCAAATAAATGGGTATCCTCTCGTTTTACCAAATCAGATGATGGTAGAGAAGTTGGAAAAATTGTCTTAAATTCCACTTTCTGGAAGAAGATACAGTATGTGATAAAATCTTTAGAACCAGTTGCACTTGTTCTTCAGAAGATAGATAGTGATGAAACCCAATCAATAGCACATATATATAATGACATGTGTAGAGCTAAACATGCAATTAAAGCTATTCATGGGGATGATGCACGAAAATATGGACCTTTCTGGAGCGTGATAGAAAACCAATGGAGCTCCTTGTTTCACCACCCTCTTTATGTGGCTGCTTACTTTCTTAATCCATCTTACCGCTATCGTCCTGATTTCCTATTGGTATGAGCTATGTTAACTACATCCCTTTTAGTTTTAAGCTCATTCCCATTCCACCTTGTCCTTATTTCATTTATTTGTCATAGAATCCTGAGGTTATTCGTGGTCTAAATGAATGCATTGTTCGATTAGAAGCTGACAATGGGAAAAGAGTTTCTGCATCCATGCAGGTAATGTGCCTTTTCTTCTTTCTTTTTGGTTGTTGTTGTATCATTTTTTAGGACTCGACTAATGTTAGAGCTATATCGGTTTAGTTACTTGGTGTCTGAAGGTTGGGCTTCCATTAATTTGTGCTGGCATTAAATGATGCCACAAAATGCAGCCAAAACTGTTTTTTTCATTTTCATCAATTTATGTTTTATTATGTATTCTTAATTTTGTTGATCTTCTTTTGTGTGACCCAAGCAGATACCTGATTTTGTGTCTGCCAAAGCAGATTTTGGAACTGATTTGGCTATAAGTACTAGAATGGAGCTCAATCCAGGTAATGTTGGCTGAGATGCCGTGCATCTTAATTAAACATAAATTGAATTCGCTAGTGTGATTTCTCTTGTATTATTATGCAAAATCAAGGAGTGATCTAAATGCATGCGCTTGTCAATTTCTTATTAGCTGCATGGTGGCAGCAACATGGGATAAATTGCTTGGAGCTTCAACGAATTGCCATTCGCATGTTAAGCCAGACATGCTCATCTCTTGTATGTGAACACACGTGGAGTATATATGATCAAGTTCACAGTAAAAGGCAGAGTAGTGTGTCTAGGAAGAGATGGAATGAGCTTACCTATGTCCACTACAATTTGCGACTAAGAGAACGACAACAACGAAGAAAGCCTTGTGATGTGATCTCATTTGACAACTTAATTACAGAAAACATACTGGATGACTGGCTTGTGGAGTCAGACAGACAACCCATGCAAGAAGACGAGGTACCTCAAATTATATCTACTTTTTCTCCAAAAATTCCTCTCTTTTTTTCCTTTAATTTTCACACACTGCCTTGATTCCTCATGGAGTGCTTGAGAACTTGCTGAAACCTCTCGTCCTGTTTTAGGATATCCTTTATAATGAGATGGAACAGTTTGATGGAGATGTAATGGATGAGAATGACCATCAAGAAAAGAGACCTGCAGATATGGTGACATTGGCAGGGGGGTTACTTGAGCCTTTGGATGTTATTCCTGCTGCTGGAGGAGTTACCACAGATGATGACGGTCTTGATTTTCTTGATGATGATTTGTCAGATTAGTTAATATGTGTGTGGCTCATCAAACCTGGAGTAAGCAGTGAGATGCACATTTAATAGTTTGATAACAAAGTGAATCGGTATCGTCATAGACCAATATTTTGTCATATTGTATTTTTGTTAGGCGTTGTGTGATTGTTAAGGTTTTCATAGAGTCCTAATTGATTCGGTCTCATTTCCAGGTTGTCTTCCCCTATGCTGATTTCTATCTTTTATTTCTTCCTCACAATAGCTGATCCGCCTATCTAACCTGTTTTTATTGTCTCCATCGTTCAATGAAATTGGTTTGTTTGATTTGTTTTTTGAACTCTTATTTGCTTGGTAAGTGTGTTCTGAATTTGGTATTTTGATGTTGTTGACAGTATAGGTCCCCACTTGTCAATGATGCACTTCTGCCTATTCTCATTTGACATGCACGTATTTTTTCTTCTTTTGTGTAACAGGTATTCTTATGTCTTATAGTAAACTATTCTGAGACTGAAGCTTTGATGAGTTAGTATTTGTTTAGGTCTGTGTTCTTGAGTTATTGATTTAGTAATATGAGTGAATGCCTCTCGTATTGAAACCACAGATTCATATTGATGGTCGGGGGTCTAGTTCCTGTAAAAAACATTTACCCTTGAGTTTTTTTGCTGGGGATCTTTCAGTTAGAGTGTCTTATTGGACCATGTCCTTTGGATGAGTTTGCAAACCACAATTCATGCTTTAATCACCTTGTCCCGAAGGCGGTTGATTAGCTAAACAGCTGACAACCAATGAGACTGAGTTGTTATTAAAAGTTTCATTTTATGGCTACCGCAGGTGCAAAAGGAGAAGGTTCGGCTTCAGGTAACTTCGCTTCTAAATTTACTTGCAAGTTCGTTTCCTCCCCTCTCTTTTAATTATTCCTCCATCAAACATGATCTGTCTTGTTTAGCTACCTATGCTCGAGTTGTGAAGACGGGAGTGCCAAGAGCACATGGTGGAAGAAGTGATCGTGCTCTGATTCAGATCCCTTTTTTATTACTCCGGGAACAGCTGGACTGGGGAGGTTAAATGCCACCTCGTGATTTCCAGTGTCAACCCAAAGGATTGCCAATTTTCTAGCCAGAAGCTTTATGTCTGCAGTATGTGGTCACATCAATCTTTGATTGTTTTGCTTCTCAGGGCTCACGAAAAGCAGAGCGAGCTCTCATGCATGGCCAAGTCTAGAATTCCAGGACGAAGTCATAGCTGTAGTGTATCATTGATCATTTGACCAGTAATACAAAATAAAGGAGGAGAAACCAATACGAAGCTCAACTCGGATAAAGGAACAATGAAAAGTATCCTTTCAGAAATTTAAACACGGATTCCCAATGCTCCTTAGGATTATGATTACAAATAATTCCAGGTAAAAAGACACTGTTTTCAGCGACATGTGTTTCGCTGAAGAGTATACTTGCGAAGTACTGTTCGATATGAACCAGCTCGGTGCTCACCAAGATCAGCAAGCCTTATTCAGACTTTATGTTCGAATAGTATCAGTTACAAAGATGCGCAAGCTTTAATTTCGATATAAATGTGACGAAGTTCCTTCAAATACATGTTGATGCACAAGACATTGTTTTCTGCTAATTTATGTTAAATCTATTTACATGCTCAATTTTATACTAAAACAAATTTTTAAGAAAATCAAAATTAAGGACATTTGGGAGAATGTAGGCAAAGTCAAGGGCTAAGCAGCTATTCAAAAATAGAGTTAGACTCTAATTTCCTTGAAAAACTAGAGTCAAAAAAGGAAAAAGAAAACATAAATGACTGTTCAAAGCAATATTTTTCTATCCAGAAAAATTAAAATCTAGTTTTACACGTTTTCAAATTTGTTCCCGGTATGGAAAACACATTTTAGAAGCTCTCCCTAGTTTTTCGTTGTTCATTGTTTTTTAAATGAAGAAAAACGAGCAATACAATCTTTTTTTCTTCTTTTATATACAATTTAGTAATATAAAAATTTAAAATTATTTTCTTTATATTTTCATAATTATTTTTTATTATGAACATAATATACATATTTATTTTTTAGCTAACAATATATTTTTCATCATAATTTTTAACTTGAATGAAATAAGATTAATATTCTACAATACAAATATATTAAGATGACTATTATAAATTATGGTTTTGATTTTTAACGAAAAATAGTTGTAATCTTAATGTATTTCTTATTTTTTTGGTGAAAACAATTATTATTATTTTAACAAATGAACACTTTTTTAAATTTTTCATTAGAAAAAAAGATAATTGAAAAGGAAAACAAATAAAAATTTAAAAAAATGTGAATGTGTGGCTCTCCAAGCAGAAGTGGAGCCTTCAAGTATTTAAAGATATCCTTTCATTAGGTCATTGAAACATTATCGTGTTTTTTCTTTATAGGTGTCACTTATGTCACTAAAAATTATAACTTGATCTTTTGGTTGTTGGTATTTCAATTTTTATTTTTATTCTTTTGATTTATCATTTTTAGTCTTATATAAATTTTATTTGTTTTTAAAAATCTCAATTTACAAAATATTATATTCTTTAATTTGATCCTTATTTTTTGAATTTCTAATTTGTTGACATGATCTTTTTGTACAAGTTTTATTATTTTTAATTCTATTCTTCAATTCAAATTGATAGTATTATGTTTTCTAATTTGATACTCATTGTTTTGAATTCTTTTTTTTCTTGGTTATTTTATAAAAGTTATTATTCTTTTTAATTTCACCATTTAATTACAATATTATTTTTACTTTTATGTCAATTTTGATTTTGATTTTTATTTATTTTTGTCTTTTTACTAAATTGATTTTTTTATAATTTTACATTTGAATAATTTTACATTTGAATTAAATATAAAATTTGATTTTTTTATAATTTTACATTTGAATTAAATATAAATTTTAATATGTATTTTAATTTTGATCATCATTCTTTTAATTATTATTATTTTAATATCTTTTTGTATAATTAAAAAAAACCTCAATTTCATCCTTGTACAATTAATTAAAAATTAAACTTAATATTTTTTTCAAATTAGATGCTTTAGATCATGACTTGAATCAAGAATTTAAAAAATTAATACAATTTTAAAATATATATATATATAATTCTCTCTTTTTTTATCAAATAATTCCAATCACATGAATTGCAAGACAAGTTCTACTTAACATGATTACAAATTTTTCATTTTAATGTTTATTTCTTACCTCATTTCAGAACCTAAACATCATTTTCTACGCAAGAAAAAAAATTAATTTGGCTTTGCAGCAAAACACAGGCATCAAAGCTAACGTGGCACTATTCTTTACTCCCCGCTTTCATTGGGCAATTTTCGGTAAAACTACCTTTTTGAACTCCAACGTTTTTGTGGCAAATAATCTCGTGTTTTCATGGTAAATCCCATTTTTACTTGAGAGGAGGCACAACAGTGGCTGCACTTCCTGAAGCAGCGATGACCGTGGTCTCTGCTGAGACTAAACTATTGGTACCCAGTTTATACACCCACTTTCTGTTTATTTCCGAGCCTATCCTCAACCATTTCTTTCTCCGGTTTTACCTCTGAGATAGACCCGTCATAAAGTAGGAGGGGAAAAGGTGAGTAAGATAAGGAGATGCCCATATAATGAAAACCCAGAAACATCAAGGCTCAGACAACTCAGCCCGTATGGAGTCAAAAAACAAAATAAACCTAGCCCAAATAAGTTCACACATGACAAGAAAAAAAAGAAATGAGGTAAAATCATATGACAAGATGGGCGGCTTCACACATGAAAAAATAAAATCAAATGCATGTCAAATAATGGGAGCACGGGGAAAGTTGTCCAAATGTTTTGCTACATGCGCAAGTAACAAAACCTTGATATATTACGCTTGCATATGGATGCGCGCTTTTACATGCACTATCATACACTGAGGGTGTGGAGAAAGAATTACATGCCTACTGATTCTCCAGCAGGTCCTGGCCGGGCATTTAGCAGGGGCTGGAGGGCTTTAACCACAATGCTCATGTTTGGCCGGAAATCAGCTTCGTATTGCACACACAAGGCAGCAACAGCAGCCATCTGTAATGAAGACACGTAGAGTTTAAAGGAAGCACTTATAGACACCTGAGTCCAGCACCTTATATATGCCGTGAAGATTTCTACCTCTTGAAGGCCACATGAATCACGCAGCAATGCAAAGCCCCATTTGAATAGGATGCAAATTGGTTTTTCATGGTGGCATTTTTGGAGACAATTGAACAAATTGACGAGCTGATTTTTCAATTATAGAAGTGTCCTTTAATTTGATTCACAGTAATTTTAGAAGGGTGAAGTAAATACCTTTGCAACTGCCTTGAGTGGGCACTCTCCTTGTAATCTTGCATCAACACACTGCTTAACCTTGTCCTCACTGAGTTTTGGTGTAGCCTAACACATGCAAAAACTCAGTAGTCAGCCAGGATGAAGAGAAGAAGAAACATACAGGTTTCAAAAGCTTGGAAGTAGAGAATAAGTGCTAGCCAAGAGACAACAAATGGTGATTGGTACCCATGTCACTAGACTCTGCTGTCCACGAGGTAAAGGGTGATCAACAGGATTCCTCCCAGCCAGAAGCTCAAGCAGGACAACACCAAAACTGTACACATCACTCTTTGCATTCAATTGTCCAGTCATTGCATATCTGCCAACCACAAAGATGGTCAATGCACGGCATGTGCTCTCACATCAAGATTTTGAAAGCGGGTTATCTTAGCAAATAAACTAATGTTTAAGTTGATAGCAGGGAAGGACACGAGGAAATCAAATTGTAACTACAATTTACAAGCTTTCAACTAAGCACAGTTATCAGAAACATACAAGTTTTTTTTTTTTTCTTTTTCTAGCAAGCAATGGAGCATTACTCAATTTTAAGTTCCAAAAGGGAAACTAAATCATCAAGTAAAAATCTCAGATAGGGATCTAATAAGCAGCTTGGTCCTTTAGGTTCCTCATAACAACATATTAGAATACCAAAACAGCTTCTGACATGGTAAAACAAAGATGCGAAAATAACATAACCATAAATAATCAACCCTAGCTTACTCGGGAGCATGATAACCAAATGTTCCTAGAACTCGAGTGGAATGAAGACGTGCTGCCATATCAGGAGCTTGATTTGACAAATCAAAGTCGGCAATTTTTGCAACATCATCATCAAAAATAAGAACATTGCTGGACTTAATGTCACGATGAATGATGCGAGGATCAGCCTTCTCATGCAAGTATTCAAGCCCTTTTGCAGCACCAACAGCAATTTTTACACGCTGTGGCCATGTAAGGACAGGACCAGGCAGTGCTCCTTTAACACCTTTCCTCCCTGATTAACGTTGACAACTAAAACATTAATCATGCAAGTAATATGAGCCAGTATTTTGTTGTTAGAGCCAAAGAATAAATGTGAGTGTTTGCACTTTTATAAAAGCATAGCAAATAATAACTAATGTCGGTGTAAGAGCCAAAGAATACATGTGAGTATTTGAAATCTTATAAAAGCATTGTAAACACTCAACTCCATGGTAGAAACACTTTCGTTAACAATCATTTAATGTTGGTGTTTTGACATCCATTAAAATTTCAAGCAAGCAAATGCTGATGGATTTCCACTGGACCCTTTTTTTAACAGCGAAGGTTTTTATTGCTGGGTTTTGAAACCAGGAACATTTGCAATGCAATATGTGTCTACCAACCAAAGATTTTTTAGGCATGCAAAATCAAATGAAAACAAGTTCACGTAGCTAAAGAGTCCATCCATATAAAATAAAGATGCCATGTCATATGAATTTGCAATGATAAATTGTAGCTCTTTTCTCTAATTACATAGAACACCACTCAAAAAGAATGAGAACTGTGATCAATTATGGATTCTAAAGGGATTAAAAAATCCTCCAGCTCTAGGCATATAAAACAGGTCAGTATCAGAAAAAAGTTGAAGTATTTGCACAAATGAAATGAACTATTAAACTTTCATATCAGAAGAATTGACACTGAAAGGCTTGATAAAAAATACCATGAAGAATATCATGAAGAGATCCATTAGAAGCAAATTCATATGCGAGTATGCGGGAACCTCCATCTACACAATACCCAAGCAATTGTACGAAATTTTCATGCTTCAACCTTGAAACCATGGAGACCTGTTGAAGTCACACAAACATTTGATATGTAACTCCAAAGTTATAATTGAAATGGAAGATGCAACAATTTGGGATTTCAAAGAAACCTGGGCTAAGAATTCATCATCAGGTTGTTTGCTGGCATCTAATTTTTTTATCGCTGCAGCCTGCCCACTTTTAAGAACACCATAATATACTCTTCCATATGATCCTTCTCCTATCAAAGAATCTGTCCCAAAGTTAACTGTAATTTCCCTTAGTTCATCCACTGATATTGCAGGGACTTCAATAGGCTGGATTTTAACAGCCTGAGTTCCTCCCCTGGGAGCTGTTTCTGATGCATGATAATTTCCGACATGGCCTGCTTGGTCAAATTCAAATCAGGAAATAGAATCAATAATGATACCTGAATTCAAAAATAAAAGAGTAAACTTCTCACTAAAACAATTTATAAAAAAGGAAAAAAATGCACATTTATT